CCACTCCCCCCTGGGACAAGCACCAGACCTATCTGGGCCAGAAGAGGGCGGGCCAGTGCCCTGGCCAGTGGCCTCTCCGAAGGGGATTGCAGGCAGGGAGGCTTGGCTCCTCAGGGGCGGTTGGGGGCCTCCCCCCCCCCGGGGAAGGGGCCTCTGGCTGGTTCCTCAGACCCCACTCTCTCCCACAGACCAGTGTGCTGGCGCCTTCTCCTAGGTGAGTGCTCGTGCCGGCCTGGACGCGAGTCCCCACAGCATGCAGCGCCCGGTGCCCTGAGACCCATGGAGACCCCTCTCAGCCAGAAGGCTGAACTGTGGGGGCCCTCCTGCCGGGAGCAGGTGGCAGGGGGGTGGGTACCGTAGAATCAAGGTGGGAACAGCAGACAGCAGTGGGCAGGGACAGAGAGGCCCTGGGGCTGGGCCCAGGGAGGGCAGGAGGGGGCGAGAAGACGGCGCTCACCCCACTACACCTGCCCCCTTGTCTGCAGGAAAGAGTCCTCCCAGGAGTGCCCGCTGGGGGCCATGCTGTACGGGGCCTTCCCCCAGGAGCACACCGTTTCTGTCCGCCACCCATCCCCCGCACAATAAATACTCTCCTAAAGCCCATGGCTCTGCATGTCTTGACCCTCCACGGTGGTTTCCGGGCACAGGGTGGGACCCCTCGCTAGGCCGAGCAGAGCTCTGCAGGGCCGGGCAGGCGCTTGGCCTGGAAGGAGCCGAGGCTCTGCTCCAAGGGAGGCAAGCTCACTCATCCAGACTGACCAGGGCATCGCAGGGGCCTTCCTGCCACTCGCTCCCCCTCCCCGCGCACCAGGGCACCAGCCTCAGCAGCCCAGCCCCGGGGCGGCCACCCAGAGCTCCCGCGGACACAGGGGACCTCCTGGGCCTTTGGGACCCTTCCTTCCACAGCACAGAGCAGGTATCTGGGCCACTCCGTCCCGCACTTCCCCTGACCCAGAGCCAGAGGAAAGCGGGGTATGCACAAAACTCTGTCCTGCCATTGTGTCTGGGTAGGATAATATCACTGCTCTTTTTTTTTTTTTTTTTCAGTTTTTTATTTTGAGAGAGAGTGCAAGTGGGGGAGGGGCAGAGAGAGAGGGAGGGAGAGAGAGACAGAGAGAGAGAGTCCCAAACAGGCTCCACACTGTCAGCGCAGAGCCCGTCTCGGCCCCGATCTCACGTTTTGTGAGATCGTGACCTGAATCGAAACCAAGAGTCCGACGCTTAACCACCCGAGCCACCCAGGCGCCCCTGGCTGGACATTTTTAATTAAAAACACAGCCCTGTCCTGCCCAATTTGCTGCCTTGATTCGGGCCCTTCTGGGCTGGGAGGTCACCCTCTGGGGGCCCCAGACAGCCCCTCCACACCTGCACCCAACACCTGGGCACCTTGGCTGCCCCAACCCACATGCCAGCCTCTGGCCCACCTGTGGACACGGTCTTCCCCCCCCCCCCCCCGCCCCCAGCACAACACCAGTCTGGAAGTCCAGCCCTGGGGATGGGGAAGAGTGTGTGGGAAGGCCCAGAGAGCCAGCCCCCTCCCACACGTGTGACCTGTGAGCTCACCGTCCCACCCTCTTGACAGGCAAGGTGCTGTCTGCCCACCTAGGGAGGCATCTGCTGAGAGATACTGTCTGAGCTCCCTCCAGGTGATAAATTAGCAGACGGAGGGGTTGATTTATCTGTTGTCACTCGCCTTCCATATGGACCCAGAGAAGAAGGACAAAGGTTGTCACGGCAGCAACAAGGGTTTAAGGTGGAGACGTGGGGATGCGCTCCCCTGGCAAGCGGTGCAGGAAGCCTGGCCACCAGGCTCCGGTGGTCCTGCCCTCCCCCGCTGTCCACCCCCCCACCCCGCCCCAGGTCCCCTGGGAAGGGCCCGAGTGGGGAGATACAGATTGCTCCCCCCGTGGCCTTATGGACACCTTTTCCAGGGAGGGCGGCCCTCTTCTGGGGTGGGGCAGCCCCATAGGACCCCTCAGGAACCCAGAAGGGCTGTGCCCCCGGCACCAACATATCCACTAGGGGCTCGTGTCGTCCTGCACCACCCGCTCAGACCACACGGGGGCAGTCCTCAGCCAGTTCCCCGCCCCAAAGCCACGGAATTCGTCCGCTGGATCTGGCTCGTTCCCTGCTGGGCTCCCAACCGCCCCCAGGGGGTCCCATCGCCCCAACAGGAAAAGCCAAAGTCCTTAGCTGGCCAAGAAGGCCCTCCCTGGGGCGCCTGGGTGGCTCAGACGGTTGGGCATCCGCCTTTTGATTTCAGCTCAGGTCATGATCTCATGGTCCCTGAGTTAGAGTCCTGCATCGGGTTCTGTGCTGGCAGCACGCAACCTGCTTGGGATTCTGTCTCCCTCTCTGTCTCTCCCCTGCTCACTCTCTCTCTCTCTCAAAATAAATAAAAGTTAAAAAAAATTTTTTTTAACTTGAAAAAGAAGAAGGCCCTCCCGATCCGCCCACCTCTGACCCCATCCCCTCCCATCTTTGCTTCTGACCACCCTGAACATGCTGGCCCCACGCCTGCCGTAGAGCACAGCTGCCCCGGCCAGGAGCGCTCCTCTCCCAGCTCTCAGGCTTCAGCCCTGCATGCCCTGGGGTGAGAGGCCACCCTTTTCCCCTTGCCCCCCCCCCACACTCCCTCCAGTGTCCTTTCCCTTCCCCACCTACCTGGCGCCCAGATATCCACACGTACCCACACCCACATTAAAGAAGATTGCTCCCTGCAGGAAGATGGGCTGGTAAGTTACATTTTCTAGACCCTTGTGTCTAAAATGAAAACAGATCTTTCGGTTTTCTTACCATGTTTTGAAGTCCTCGGCTCAGGTCTTGTATTGGTTTCCTGTGGCCGCTGTAGCCAATTATCACAAACTTGGTGGCTTAAAACGTAACATTTACCTCCTCACAGTTCTGGAGGCCCAAAGTCCAAAATCTGTGCCCCTGGGCGGAAATCACCGTGCTGTCAGGGCCGCGTTCCCTCCAGAGGCTTTAGTCTCCTCTTAGTGAAATCTTTCTCCGCCTCTCTCTAAGGACATCTATGACAGCATTTGGATAATCCAGGAAAATCTCCCCATCTCAAGATCCGTAACCACATCGGCAAAAAACCCTCTTCCACACAAGCTGCCATTGACCGTTGCCAGTAACTTTGGGGGACTCCGTTGAGTGTGCCGCATTCTCCCTGGAAACATTCCCCCAGGCCCCCGGCACTGTGCCCAGAGGAAGGAATGTTTAAGGGGGTCCTGGGGGCTGGTGGCCCCACACTCCCATTGCCACACCTGACCCTCCTCCGGAGTCTTGGGTACACAGTAGACTTCAGCATCCCCTTCGGACACCGACATGTCGCAGAGTTCCTACAGCAAAGGAGTGGCCCCCAGGCTCTCTCCAAACCTGCTTCAGCCCAGCGACCTTGGGGAAGGGCGTGCCCACACCACCCACAGACAGGGGCACCTGTGAGCCCTACCCCCCTCACCTCACCCCTGTCCACCTCCACTCTGAGCAACCCCTCCCCCCCCCCAGTCTGCATTCTCTCATTCACAATATCTACTGAATGCAATGTTTAAGCCCTGAAGACGAGGCTAGTGAAACAGACGTGAAGCCTCCCCCCTCCACGGACCTCTGGGGGAACCACCGTAAACAGGATGAAAAATGCATTAGTTCCCTCCTGCTGATAACAGATTTCCCCCCCCCCCCCAGTTCCCTGGCTGGAAACGAGAAGCATGTCTTCCCCCCCATTTCTGAGGGTCAGGAATCTGGTCCTGGGTGATCTCGGGCCTCTGGCACAAGACTTCCCACAAGGCCGTGGTCAAGCCGCAGGCCAGGGCTGCGTTCTCCCCAGAAGGTTCGGCCGGGGCGGGGGGGGGGGTCTGCGTGCCAGCCCTTCACTAGTTGTTGCCAGGCCTTGGTCCTGTGCCACGTGTGGTGGTGAGCGAGTCCAGGAGAAAGAACGGGCAGCCCATCGCTCCAGCCTCCTGGCCAGGGGCAAGTTACTCGACCGGACCTCGATGGGGCAGAGACACAGGAGGCCGGCCCGGTTGGGGCCGTCTCACAGTCTGCTGCCACAGGAAGTGGCCAGAGGTACTTTATCTAGTGACAGGGCTGGAAAGCAAGTACACAAAACAGGAGAGAGGACTGGAGGTAGTGGGCGGGCCGCGACACTGTGTCAGGTGACTGAGGAAGACTGAGAAGCTGGCACTTCACTGAAGCCCCAAAGGAAGCATGTGAGTCTGAGCGGACCAAGGGGACGGTAAGGGAGGGTCACCGAGGCTGTCACCCAGGGGACCATAAGGGAGGGTCAGGCTGGGCCGTAGGAGGCACAGGGTGGGGGTGGGGGGGGGAGGGACAGGACAACATCAGCAGCGCAGCCTACAGGCCCAGCCTCAGCCCTCCCCACGACTGCCCTGTGGTCACCCTGTGCCTTCCTCTGGCGTCTGCAGTGGCTGCCCCTCTGCCTGGGATCCCCCATCCTGGCGCGTCACCATCGTCCCTCGATTCCCCGGGGTCACAGCTCCGACCGCACGTGGACTACCCGAGAGTTTCACGTTTCGTTTATTATCTGTCCAATCCATGAGATCTCACAAGCTCCAGGCGACCAGAGACCTTGTCTGTTAAGCAAAGTGCTCAAGGCTAGGACAAGGGAAGGCACAAAGGAGGGGATGGATGGATGAGTGCCGGGAGCCTCGTGCGCTGGCCGCCACACTTTATTCACGGTCGAGTTCTGACCTGCCGCGGTTCGGCGTTAGGAAAGTTTGCGCGTCTAAAGACCACGTGAGATAGTATCTCGGGAAGGGCGACAGCAGGTGCGGAAGGCAGGACGAGGCCGCTGGGACCAGCAGGGGGCGAAGCGGCGGGGGAGGGAACCCCGGACTCCGCGCGCGAAAGGCGCGCAGGCCTCCGCGCGGACGCGGGAACCGCACCCGGAACAGGCCCGCCCGGGGGACCCCGCCCGCCGGAGACCGAGCCCCGCCCCTCCAGCCCGCCCCCAGGCCCCGCCGCCGGCGCGAAGGGCCAGGGTCTTCGGGGCGGGACCTGGGCCGTAAGCCCCGCCCCCGGCTCCGGAGCCGTCCTCCCGCGCAGGCGCCCTGGGGCCCGCAGCCTCCCGGGTGGTGTCCCTGCCGCGGCCGCGGTGCTATGGTGCCGCCGCCGCCGCCTCTGTCGCCGCCTCTCTGCACGCTGCCGCCGGGGCCCGGGCCCCCGCGCTTCGTGTGCTATTGCGAGGGGGAGGGAAGCGAGGACGGAGGCCGCGGCGGCTTCAACCTCTAGTAAGTGGCTGGCGAGGAGCGCGGGGCGCTGGGGGCGCCGACAGTTCTGCGGGCCGTTCCGCCTGACAGCCCCTCCCCCCACAGTGTGACGGACGCCGCGGAACTCTGGAGCACCTGCTTCACGGCGGACAGCCTGGAGGCCCTCGTGGGTATCGGGGCTGCGGGGCAGGCCGGGAAGTCCCCGGCACTCCTTACCTGCAGTGCGGCCCACCTCTGGGATCGCAGGGGGCGGTCTGGGATCCCGGGGTAGGGGGGGGGGGGGGGGGGGGGGTCTGGACACCCTTCCCCCAGCTTTGTAACCGTAGCCCTAAGATTGGCCCGGGGTCCTGGGTGGCCCTCCGTCAGGCAGCTTTGGGGTGGCTCCAGAGTCTTGGGCAGCTGGTGACCAGCCCCTGTGCCCTGCAGAAAGCCCGTTTGGGCCTGAGTGCGGCTGAGGAGATCACCCCCCGGTTCAGGTGAGTCGCTGAGCGGGGAAGGAAGGGTGGGTGTGGAGCTGGGGGTCTGGACGCCGCACTCAGCACACCTCCTTTCCTAGGGCAGCCTGTGAGCAGCAAGCTGTGACTTTCGCCCTGCGGGAGGATGGAGCATCCCTAACCCTTTCCGGGGGGGCCCTGGGCCCTGGATTTTGAGCTCTCCAAGGTGCCGGGCCCAGAGGCAGCCTCCAGGTTGCAGGCACTGACACTGGGTCTGGCAGAGCAAGTGTGCAACTTGAAGAGGCAGCTGGCAGGTGGGGTGGGGAGCAGGTACCCCGAATCTTCACTAGGGTCCCCCTGCTCGTGCCTCCATTCCTGGCTTTCTTCCCCAGGCCTGCAGGTGACAGCCACCAGCCCCAAAAAGAGCCCTTGTCTGGCAGGGCCTCAGTTCTTCTTACCAGGTAAGGCCTGTCACCTGGGACGTCGGTGGGGGCTGTGCTCCTGCTCCCTCTGTGACTCCCCTTCCCCAGAACAAGAGTCGGGCCCCAAAGACAGCATGTGCACGGAGAGGGGGCTGTGGCTCTGGAATTCTACCGACTCAGGAAGCCCCGTCCCGTCCCGTTGCCCTCAGACCCGGACCCTCAGAGAGGTGGCCCTGGACTTGGGGTCAGGAGGCGGTGTCCAGGGGAGTCCCTCATCAACCCTGGCTTCAAGAGGTACTCACCCCCTGCCCCTCCCTCCCGTGCCCCTGGCCCAGCCCTGGACCCCTGCCCCTCCCTCCGTAAAACCGTAGTGTCTCTTCCTCTTCTCTCCCAGTAAGAAACCAGCCAGCGGTGTAGACTTTGACAGCCCCTGAAGGCGCAGCACCAAGTGTGACCCTGCCAGGAGTCTGCTCATGCGGTGGGGACAGCCCCTGAGACCCCACAGCCCGTCCTGCTGCCAGAGGGGAACAATCCTGCTCCTCGGACCCCTTCCCCATTAAATAAATGGCTTCCTCAGGTGGAGGAAACGGCTGGGGTCTGGCCGGGGGAGAGGGATCAGGGGTCTCCCTGGGCCTGTGATCTGGCTCGGGCCGCAGTGTGTAAGCAGATGGGCCAGCTTCCGCACCGCCTGGGGGGTGGGGGTGGGGGGAGCGCCACTCTCTCCAGGCTCACCCAGCTGCCCCTGCCCGGTTCGAGACGGAGCGGAGAGGGACTGGAAGGCGGGTCAGGGCTCCTCAAGGTTGGAACTCTGTTGCCGGCCCCTCCACTCCACACCCTTCACTCTTCCAGACCTCACCTAACAGGCACAGCCACCGGTGTCCCGCACCACAGGTCATGTGGAAGCTGGAGGGTGGTGGCCTGCCGCCTGGGGCTGGGCTGAGGAATGTGGGCTGGCCCCACCCACCGACCTGAGCCTCTAGGTGCCCAGTCTGGGCTCTGGTCCCCACCCTCCTTGGCCATCCTGCAGCCCCACCCTGGCCTGACTGGTTTGGGAGCCCAATCTAGTCCCCACCCCACCCCCGACAGGGTTAGTGGAGCAGAGCCACCCACCGGGTTCTCTGCCCATCATTCCAGGCTTGTCCTGGGGACGGAGTGTTCCGTGGTGGGGGTTTTGGGGGTGGCAGAAGTCAAGGGCCCTCTGGTCCCTCGGATGTCAGGGCATGCTTGCTGGGGCAGAGATGCGTTTATGGGGCTGTAGAAGAGGGGGCAGGGGGTGGCGGTAGAGGGGGCGGCGGCTAGCGGGGGCGCACCGCCGTCCGGTAAGCCGCTAGGATCTCCGCGCTGTGTGGACACGTGTACTTGAACTCCTTCACCTGCAGCGCGCTGTCCAGGTAGCGGCGGACGCCGCGCAGCTCGGCGGGTATGGGCGCCCCGCGGAAGTGCGCGCACACCGTCTGTGGGGGAGGGGCGTGGCGCGGTCAGGGCCTTGTGGGGGGCGCCCCCCGCGCCCCGCGCCCCGGCCCGGCACTCACGTCCACGATGTGCAACTTGGGCAGCAGCCTACAGTCAGCCAGCGTGAGCTGGTCGCCGTCCAGGAAGCGGCGGCGCGACTCGCCAAGCTGCGGTTCCCGCACCAGCTCGTGCTCCAGCGGCGCGCGCAGGTAGCTGTCCAGCCTGGTGAGGGCGCGCCGCAGCAGGTGGTACAGGGGGGGGGGGGGGGGGGGGCGCGGTGAGGCCCGGCCTGGGCCAGCTCCCCCCCACCCTCGCCGCGCTCCTGACCCTCCTCACCATCGTCCTGCGTGGGCACTGGGTTCTTGATGAACGCGGAGAACCTGTGAAAGACGTCGTTGCCTGCCGTGGCGGACTCCCGGTAGCGGGGCGCCAGGCTGGGGAATCTGCGGGGAAGCAGGGGATCTGTGGTCAGACCCTTGAGCCAGGCCCTCTTCCCTGCGGGGACCCTCAGCATCCTTCCCGGGCTCTGTCCTGGGAGCACCCTCCCTGGGCGCCCCATCATCGCCCCTCCTGCCAGGCCGGGCCCTCACTCGGGGGGCCCCAGCGTCTCCTCCAGAAACTCCTCGATCTGCAGTGTATCTGTTTTGGTGTCGCCATCGTGGAGAAGGATGGGCAGCTGCGAGCCAGGAGCGAAGTCCTTAAGCACATCCGGGGACCTGTGGGCATGAGGCAGGTGGGGAGGCTGCTGGTCAGAAGGGCCAGGGACCAGGCAGCGGTCCCGTGGGGGCAAGGGGCTCACCTGCGGATGTCCACGGTGGTGAGGGTGAAGGGCACGCCCTTGAGGAGCAGGACCATGAAGAGCCGCTGACAGGAAGGGCAGTGTCCTACGCTCTCACCATCCTCGCTCGCCTGGGGCGCATGGAGTAGAGGGTGCCAGGGAAGAGAGCAGGCCTAAGAATCCCGCCAAAGGGGACCCTGCCTCCCAGGGCCAAGAGCCTGGAATGATCCCGGGCTCCAGCTTGGTTGGGCATGACCTCGACACGTGAGAGCCCTTGGCGTGGTCCCCGGGAGCTGGGGAGGGGCACAGGGACATGGGGCTGGGACCCTAGCTCTGGAGCCTGGCCCCTTGGCCCTTATCCTCAGAGCCTGGGCAGAGGCCAGGCTGCTGGTCTCCAGGCCCCACAGGCGGGTCACAGGGTGGGGTGGGCTGAGTGAGCTGTTTTCTGAGTGATTCACCCTGCCGGACTGGACACTGGGTGCCAGCACACTCATCGTCCCACCTCCCACAGTGGGGAGGAGGCCAGGGCCTCGCAGCCCTGCACAGGGACCCCAGATCTGGGCAGCGATGTGACCGTCCACGGGGCTGCCTGGCCCAGCCCCCACCTGCCTCACTGACCTCAAGCTCCACGTAGGCCTTGGCCTCCAGCTGCCTGATTGTCGCGTCCCCACCGAGGGGCTTTTCCCCCAGGAGGGCTGGGCTGGGTCCAGGAGCCAGGGCTGGGAGTCAGCACCCCACGCCCTTGGGGACAGCTCACTGGGCCCTTCCCCGGTCCTGCTCCCTCTTTGCTCAGCCTCTGCAGGGCTGCCCGAGCCCACCACAGAGGAAAGGACACAGATGCTGCCTTGGAGACCCACCGCCCACCCTAGAGAGCCCCGGAGCCCCGCACAGCACACTCCTCCCCAGACCTCCCTCCCAGCCCAGCGGCACCTTAACAAACAGCTGGAGCTTAGCCGTCTCTGCCATGGCGAGGAGCTGTGGTGGCCGAGGCAGGGTGGGGATCTGGAGAGCCCTTTAAGGCTCCCGGGGTGCCCCGCCCTCCCGGGCCCAGGGCCCGCCCTGACAAGCCACCTACGCAGGTGGACGAGGCTGTCGGGGCTGTCTGTCGGGGCACCGTGTCCAAGCATGAGGGTGTGACTGTGGGGGCACTGCGTGCTCGGGGCTGGCGGGGCTGGGGACCTGAGCACCCCAGGGTGGGTGTGGGATGGGGGCGGAGAATGGTGGATGTGGAGGCGGGGAGAGAAGGGTGCCAGCCTGGGGAGAAGGCAGCTCTAGATCGGGACCTGCCACCGACCCCCCCCCAGCCCTGCAGTGCACACCCCGTTATCTGTCGGGGGTCCCCAACCCGGAAAGCCGGGGGGTGGGGAGGAGAAGTGAACAGCCTGGCCCCAGCCTCAGTTTCCCTAGCTGCCTACCAGGGCGTTACCAGAGCGTTAAGCCTCCTCCTTGGAAGGGACGCCCGGGACACCACTGTGCTCCGTCTGGCAGAGCCCCGCCCCCAGGCCCGCCCACATTCCAGAACCGCTGCCCGCCTGCTCAGGTAGCTCTTCTCTGACAACCCTGCACCCCTGCCCTTCGCAATCGGTTCCACGCAGGCTTCTTTCCTTCTCAACCTTTAAAAAGAAGCACCAGGAGAAGGGTGGGAAGCCGCAACCTCCTGACCTGTGCTGCCGCCCACCCCGCCCTTGGCTGGAACAAAAAAACTAGGGGACGTTGTGCATACAGCAACCCCCCCACCCCCACCCGACCTGCATTGCCCCCGTCAGGGTGGCCGGCGCCCCTATGGCCTCCTCCCCCAGGGCCTCCAGCCGGCCGGCCCCTTCTGGGACCCCACGCCGTCCAGGACACCCGGACGCAGCCCGGGTGCGGGCCTGACACTGGGGCTGGGCCCTGGCTCCCCGCCGGGGCTGGGCTTCCAGTCCGAGCACCGGTGTTTCAGCTACTCCTCTGCGTGGTGGGGGTGGGGGCAGGGCTGGGCCCGCTCACTTCCTGCCTCGATGCCGCACAAAGGCCCCCCACACCTGCACCCGTTCGCCAGATGTCCCGTGCGGATTTCCGCGCCTGTGAAAATACCCTCACACGTCTGTAGGACAAACGGTGAGCTGGACGAAGGACCCGGCGGTGCAGAAACAAGGAAACGCACGCACCCCAGCGGGAAGTGGGGGGAGGCGTGAAACTTCACGCTGCTGTGAAGAAGCACACATCCGTGGCTGCGGTGAGCAGAAACGCGGTAACCACGTTCTCGGTGTCGCTCCGGATGCCCTGTCGGCCGGCAAAACGGGGCATCAGCCCACAGGTGTCCTGGTACACACGAGGGACGTGTAGACAGATCCGGGCCGTCCCCCTGATGCTAGCCCCCTTTCCGTGGGAGAGTCCTGGTTTGCTCACAGGAGAGGACAGAGGGGGGGCCTGGAGGTTTGGTGGTTTTACGCTGAACTGGCCCCGGGTCACGGTGGCAGTCCTAGCCCCCAGCACCTCAGAATGTGACCTGACTAGGAGACAGACTTTTTGCAGAGATCATCAAAGTAAAATAAGGTCATCAGGGGGGGTCCTACCGCAATACGACTGTTCTTATACACGGGGGAGATTTGGACACAGACCCACGTGGACCAGGCGCCACACGAACGAAGGTGGAGGCAGAGGGCAGGGCCGTGCATCTCCAAGCCTAGGAACATGGAGCCTGGCCGGAAAACCACCGGCAGCTGGGGGGTGACTCCGGGGAGCCGGGGCCAGACCCTCGCCCACAGCTGCAGAAGGAGCCAGCCCTGCCCGCACGGTGATCTTGGACTTCCGGCCTCCAGACTGTGGGGGGGGATAGATCTCTGTGGCTTCCAGCGGTGATTCACGGCTCTAGCAAAGACCCGTGAGAGAAGAGCCCCGCAAACTGAAAAGCACTACATAGCAGTCACTGCGAGTCTGTGCCCTGAGCTTTCGGAAAAAGCCACGAGGATGTCCTCCGACTTTTGAATTTTCTACCATGATTGCCTAGTAAATGTTTTTATTTTATTTATTTTTTTTTTTATTTTTTTTCAACGTTTTTTTTTTATTTATTTTTGGGACAGAGAGAGACAGAGCATGAACGGGGGAGGGGCAGAGAGAGAGGGAGACACAGAATCGGAAACAGGCTCCAGGCTCCGAGCCATCAGCCCAGAGCCCGACGCGGGGCTCGAACTCCCGGACCGCGAGATCGTGACCTGGCTGAAGTCGGACGCTTAACCGACTGCGCCACCCAGGCGCCCCAGTAAATGTTTTTAAATAAATGAGACCAGAAGCTCACGGTCACCAGCCCTAACTGACCCATGACCTACTGGGCGTTGAATAAGCCTCCCTGACAGTGCCCCGGCCACATCCACAGAGCAGCCCCTGGAGGGGCCCGGGGGCCTGCTGTCCTGGTCTTTTCACGTCCCTCTCTTCCTTCCTGGGGACGGTTCTCGGCCCACAGTCCCAGGACGTGACACATTAGAAACATTTCTCTCCTGAGCCCTGTCTGTGGGCCCTTCCTGGTGACATTTTAACAGACTTGTCGGGGACACTATGGGGGGGGGGGGGGGCCGGGGGGGCCCTGGGATCTGAGCAGGAGCTCTGCCCCCTGAGAGAGCCAAGGAGCAGTGGGCACAGCCAGAGTCCAGATGGGGGTTCCAAAACCCATTTCCCCCCAAAGAAACGGGGCTCCTTGGAAAATTGCTGAATCCAGACATGGGCCAGGGAGGTAATAAGCAGGCCTGGAAATTGTAACAGAAAAGAAGTGCTCCAAAAAATGTCCAGGGCAAGTCAAAAGGACACAGAAGCCACCACGAAGGGGTTCCCACCGGCCACATCTGGGGCAGTTTGAGCATAAGAAAGATGGCAGAATTGTACACTTATAAATGGCTAAGACGGTAAATACTATGTACATTGAAAATATTAGTGGGGGGGCGCCTGGGTGGCGCAGTCGGTTAAGCGTCCGACTTCAGCCAGGTCACGATCTCG